CAGCCCCTTTAGCTGCAATTTTTGGAGAGGATAGCTGAGGGTTTTAGGGTTGCTAGCTTGGTATAAATAGAACAGAAAACACAGCTTTAGAGGGGGGCATACAGAAAGAGTGAGGGGGCGGCTGATTAAGGGAAAGAAACCTACGGGCTGGACAGGAGAGAGCTGAGAGTGAGCGAGAGTTTTCTGGCTGAGAGGGAAGTGAGATTGAGAGAGGGAAGGCAGAAACAGAGAACGAAGAAGCAAAGCACGAGAGTGGGCGGCTAAAAGTAAGGGCTAAAACGAAAAAGGAACGGCGAAAAAGTTTGGATGACGGCTGGAAATCTGGGAAAAAGCTGCGGCAGAAAGGAAGAGTCTTATGACAGCTAGGGTTACGAGCTGAGGGTTGAGAAGAGGGAAATCTGGAGAGCAAGAAAGAAACCATAGGAGGGAATCACGGCTGGGCAAAAGCTTGGAGATTTCGGAGGGAGAGGGGCCGCTACTCAAGTTTGCTGCTGAAACCCATCAGAAAATAGCACCTGTAGTAGCAAGACTCCAGCTTTAAAAAAAAATAAGGGACGGCGGAGAGAAGGAGGGATGCGAGTTGACGGCTGAGGAAAAGAAAACTAGAGAGAGCAGGGAGAGGTTTTTAACGGCAAAAGAAAGAAACAAAAAGAAAGGTTGCAACTGAGAGAGGGAGAGCTAACAGTTGGGCTTCAGGAAGAATCTGGGTTGCAAGGAAGGAACAAAAAGGTTCTGGTTCGTTGGAGCAAGGGAAAGGATCAGAAGGAGGAACTGCTGGAAAACTTCGTTCATCGGCTGATTTTTGTTCACAGACTGCATTAGCTTCTGTCAACTCTTTAAGGTATATTTCCAAGTTCCCCATTAAAGCTATATTTTAGATCTTTACTTGAAGCTCTTGGATGAAGTCTAGTTGTTTTCTTTTCCGTAAATCTGCTGAGGAGGGGATGAACTGTGGATCTTGTTTTCCTTCTTTTCTTGTTTCCATTGTCAAGAGTTTTGTGGGAAAAGCTAGAATTTTTCTGTTGATTAAAACCTTTTAGCAGCAATCTTGATAAAAATCTGAAGTTTTGTGCTCTTTGGCAGTAGCTTTAAGCGTGGTTTCACTTTCTCTTTTGCTGCACTTCATGCCTTGCTGTTTCATTTAGTTTATGGGAGTAGCGGATGTTGTGTTTTCCTTGCTTAAAATCTAAAAAGCTGGAAATAACGTTTGATGAACCTGTAGTTTGGTCATAGGAATGTGTTGGTTAATGTTTTTACACAAAGAGAAAAAATTTGCTGCAACAAGCCTGATGCTCTCGGCATGTTGTAGCAGTAGTGTGATTTGTTTTCCTACTCTCTTGGCTGCTGCAATCTTGGTTTATTTAACATTTGGTATGTTGTTCTTGGCTGTTTTGGGTTGCATTTGTTTTGGGTTTTAGCGTGGTGTAATGGGTGGGTTTTCCTTTGAAAAATACTTCTTCAAACCAGATTTTCTGAAGAGATTCTAGCATTTCAGTTTCCTTTGTTTTTTATCCTGCAATCAGTCATGGTCTAGCCTAGCTCTTCCTCTTGAATGTTTTGAACCCACTTGATGGAAACCCAGGGACCAGAGTCATTAGCTTTCCTTCACCTATAATTCTCTGCATTGTTAGTTTTTTCCTTTCTTTTCTTTTTCTGAAATTTGCATTCGAAGTTGAGCTAATGGTCAGCTCATTTTATTGCATTTTGTGGTCGGAAGATTGTTGGAACTTACATCTTTCCCTGATTACAAGCTGTCGCATTTGGTATTGTAATGAGTCAGGGTTCATTTGAATAACTTTGCATGAAATTTGTCCCGGATGAACAAAGGTGTTGCAGAAATTTGTTGTTCCTTCATAGCTTGCATGAAGCTTGCATGAAAGTGCTTCCAAGAATTCCATTGTGAATAAGTGTTTTAGCCATACTTAGTTGGAGTTTTGTTAATATGTGTTTTAGCCATACTTAGTTGCATGAAAGTGCTGCATGAATCCTGTTTGCCGAAAATTCCCTGGAGTTGCAAAAGCTCCCGAATGAAAGATGCAGCAAACATTCATTTTGGTTTTTTACGTAGCTTGCATGAAATCAAAAGAAAAATTACATTCTGACCCCTCAAGTCTCCCATTGTCCTACTATGACCCAATCAATTGAATGATTTTCTCAATTTGGTCCCTGGTAGCTTTTAATTTTACAACTTCATTGGTTGTTTGTTTCAATTAATTACTATGCTTTGTTTCAATTGCACTTAAGTCATGACTTTAGGGGCTTTATGACCAATGAGCTTGTGTTTGCCTATTTTCTTTAATTTTTCCAAATAAATTGGTACCTTGACCATTTCTTCTATTTTGGAGGATAAATAAGTGACTTCACCCCATTGAAGCTCCAACTCAAGGGAGGTATAACTTCTTTTATTTTTTTTTGTCTCTCCTATGTGATCCAACGTGCTATGTGAAAATTGCATGTCTACTTGATTCCCTTGCTTTTCTTTAATTCCTTTAATTTACTTCATTTACTTTTGCTTTTTATTTAAGTTATTCTTTATGGGTACACCTCTTGGCTTGTAATAGATAGGGCTTGGAGAGCACTTGATGAAGACCTATTGAAGACGTGTGCCTAGCTAGCAAATGTAATAGGTCTATTAGCTTGGTTGCTTGCTTTTGTGGCTGTGTTAATTTGCTTTATTAAGTTCTTGCATCTAGTCGAGCATGCTAAGTGTTATGTGCTATGTGTTTATGAGTGTTTGGCATGTCTACTTGCTTTCTATAGTTGTAGATGAATGTGATGGATGAATGTACGTCACCACACTAGTCCAATGCTAGTTGTGGCTCATTATTCCGTTAGGAATTCATAGAAAGGGCTAGTCCAACGCTAGACCCTATAGGCCATCCCCCTTTCATTAGTGCATACTTGCATGTTCACTACATTTCATGCATTTTTCTTAGTTTTTTATCATTTGGCATGCTCCTCCAATCCTTTTCCCCTCATTTTAGGCTTTTTGCATCTTCATGCTAGTTATAGGGTACATTTGCTTGAGAGTCCCCTTTCGATAAGGGAAACGAGCGAGTTTGGCTACAAAATAGCCTTAGCACGCTAGTTCTTCCTTCTAATCCAAGGAAAAATCAAAGTCGTAAAGTTAGGAATCCTTCCCGTACCCGACTTGATGCATTCCCTTAGGATCATACACTTGCATTCTTTTTATATCACATTCACACTCTTTTAGCCACGTTTTCTCACTACTTAGATTTTTCTCACCACCTTTTTCCTATCTCTCATTTATTTTCAACCTCACAAATGGCACTCAAATTGCACTTCTATGTATCTATTATTCTATTTTTCATTCATTTGCACACACAAACACCTTTATTTTCTCACATTTGCACACTTGCACTTGAGTCCTCACTTGCATTAATCACGACTTCCATGAAAGCTTTCCTCATTGGCCACCACAATTCATGTGGTTGGGACCTAAAAGCCTCATGAGAAACATTTTAGATTTAGGATTGCATTTTTCTTTCCTTTTCGCATCCATTAGTCATATCCAACATGCGATACTTACCTTGGGTAGAAAAATTAGGAAAAGTGCGGCTAAGTCACGCAGCTAGCTTTGGCTAGGGTAAGGGAGTGCCTTAGGCTTTGCTTTTGCCTTCTCCCTTATCAAATGTGACCCCCGATCCCTTTCTTTGGTTACGTAGACCTAAAAGTTTTTCAAAAGGGTTTGTTTACTTTTTCTTTCAAAAACAAAACAAAAAATCATTTTTTTGGGTGACTTGGTACACCCTAACTCCGTACCAAGTGGCGACTCCATTTTTTCATCCAAAACCCTTTTTTGAACTTTATTTGGCCGAACCGTCGCATTTCACAATCCCACGGCCTTTATTTTCACTTTCACACGATCACACACATATCTCACACACACCACACACACTACTTCCACACCTATCAAAAAGTGGGGCGCGACAACAATGAAACTATCTTTCTCATTTGGCAAGGCTAAGACTGGCGCCGAAGCCAACCATTTCTTTAATTCCTGGAAACTAGCCTCACTCTTAGAATCCTAGACAAATTGAACATGCTTTTTCGCCAGGTCGTTTAAAGGTCCTGCTAATTTGGAGAAATCTTTGATGAACCAACGATAATGCCCGGCTAAACCTAGAAAATTACGGATTTCAGTTGGGATTTCTAGGCGTTTCCACTCAGTTACGGCCTTTACTTTCACTGGATCCATAGAAATGCTATCTTTAGATATTATATGCACTAGAAAAGAAATTTGCTCTAACCAAAACTCACACTTGCTAAACTTGGCATATAACTGATGTTCTCTTAAAATCTGTAAAACTATCCTCAAATACCGTTCGTGATCCTCTCGAGTCTTAGAATATACCAAGATATCATCTATGAATACCACGACAAATTGGTCTAAGTAGGGTTTAAAGACTCGATGCATCAAATCCATAAATGCGGCAGGAGCATTTGTTAAACCAAAAGGCATCACTACGAACTCGAAATGCCCATATCTGGAATTAAAAGTAGTCTTTAGTATGTCCTCCTGCTTAATTCGTAACTGATAATAACCTTGTCTCAGGTCCAATTTAGAGAAAACCACTGCTCCTCGCAACTGGTCAAAACAACACGTCAATGTATGGCAAAGGGTATTTATTTTTCACCATGACATCATTTAAGCCGTGATAGTCTATACAGAACCTCAAACTACCATATTTCTTTTTAACAAATAGAACAAGTGCTCCCCAAGGTGATTCACTTTCTCGAATAAACCCTCGCTCTAACAAGTCCTGTAATTGCAGGTTTAGTTCCTTAAGTTCGGTAGGGGCTATTCAGTATGGTGTTTTCGCAATAGGAGCGGTTCTAGGCACCAAATCGATCTTAAATTCTATTTCTCTTTCTGGCGGCATCGACTTCAACTCGTGAGGGAAAACATCGAAAAATTCATTTACTACTAACACATCTTCCAATTTCACCTTATCTCCAGGAGTGTTAATCAAGAAAGCTTAGTAACTCTGCGCCCCTTTACTTAATAATTTCCTAACTCGAATTTTCGAAACAAATGCAAACGAGGCTAATCTACCTCTCACATCCAGTCTTAGAGTTGCCTTTCCGAGTATAGAGAACTCTACCACTTTAGTTTTACAGTTCAATTGAGCATTATAACAGGCCAACCAATTCATGCCTATAATCACGTCATACCCCTTGAGGTCTAGATTTATCAGGTCTACCACCAACTTCCGTTCTCCTACCCAAATCTCACAATTTTTATAGACCATATTGGCAACTAGGCTTTGATCCCCAGTAGGTATTCTAACTTCTAAATCATAGGGCAATTTAACAGGATTCACATCAATACCACACATAAAGGCAGGATTCACAAAAGAATGGGTTGCCTCAGGGTTAATTAAAAGCTTAGCTAAGCGGTGGAATACAGAGATCGTACCTTCCACTACCTCAGATAATTCGGGAGCTCGCTGATAGTCCAAGGCAAAAACCCTAGCAGAGGTTTTCGGTCTACTCCTACTAGCAGTTTGTTGCTTAGGGTTTGACTTCTCCGGCTGCACACCCTCATTTTTTTCAAGATTTTTAACAGGATAGGTGGCGATTTGATGCTCGGAACTTCCGCAACGGAGACAGTTCCTCATCTTTTGCCAACAAGCATCCTTGGTGTGGTTTGTTTTATCACAATATCCGCATCTTGTTCGAGGAGCGAGTGTAGGACCACCTTGGGAGACAGTCCTCTGTTGTCCCCTTCCACTTTGAGCCTCTTTGGATGGAACTCCTCTCGGTGCTCTTGAGATTTGAACACCACCCGTACCCCTCCCAAACTTAGGAGGTGGTACATGTTGATCGCCCTACCCGGGAGCACTACTCAATGCGCTGCATCTCTTGGCTTGAAAGGTCCGAAACTTGGAATTTGGCCTGCTCCACTCGTTGAGCTTTCTCAAGAGCATCCTTAAATGTATCGATTTGAGTTGCAGCCAAGTCCTTTTGAATCTCTACATTCAAACCTTGTACAAACTGCCTTATGCGCATTTGCTCATTAACCACCAGTTCCGGAGCAAATTTGGAGAGTCGGGTGAACTGGGTCTCATATTCCGTTACGCTCGAAGTGCCTTGGCGTAGTTTGATAAGCTTATCCTCTTTTTTCTCCTGGATTAAAGGCGGAAGGAACTTCTCATTGAATTCCCTAGTAAAGTTTAACCAAGTATGTGGGGTTTGCTCCCTGTCCCACTTTGCCCTTCTACGTTGCACCAGGAACGGGCCGCGCCTTCCAACTGGAAAACTGTGAAGGTCACTTGCCTCTCTTCAGTGTAATGTAACGCAGCGAATATATTCTCAATACGCTCAAACCAGTTCTCGGCAACTTCGAGATCGCGTCCCCCAAGAAATTTTAGAGGGGCGAATTTTTGGAACCGTTCCAGGGCTATATCTTCACCTATCTCAAGGTCCCTTTACTGGTTACCAGGTATTTGACCGTACTGGTCAACCAATCGGGCTAATAAATCAGTCATACGGCTGATAGCTGTAGCAACCTGGTCCCCTCCTTTATTTCTGGGTCCTTAGTTCTGATTGGCTACAGACTCTTGTTCTTCCTCTTGGTCTTGGATTTGCCTGGGTCCATGCCCACGGCCCCGACCACGTAGTCGTCTACCTTCCATTATTACTCACTGGGCTAGGGTTCAAATATTATAACTAATAGGTAAGCAAGTTTTGAGTATGCAATAGATACTTATTCACAATCAAAAGTCCAAGAAAAATTGAAGTCGAAATCACAATAAGCAAGGGAAAACACAAAGCAATTAAAAGCCAATTCGAAATAAAGTCAAGGTCAAAGTCAAAAGTCAAAAGTCAGGATCAAAGTCAAAATCAAAGTATTATACATTCAAAGGCTCATAGCAGTTATTTACAAGTTAACAAGGCCAAAAGTATCAAGTATGAGCCTTAATAGTACAAGCACAGTTCATCAAGTCATATCATGCACAAGCCAGTGTACGCAGTCAAAAGAGAACTGTGCATCCACCAAGTCACCACATCCCCCATCCTTTCTATGTATAATGGTCAAAATCATCCCCAATCGAAACCTAGAAGTGAAGACCTAATCCGCTGCGGGACTAGCTGACTCCCCCCATCCTGGGCAGGTTCAACTCCTGCCTCGCCTCCGACGTGGGAAGCCTCATCGCTCACATCTCCAAGTAGGTCATCACAAATGTTCAGGATCGACTCGGCTCTAGTCCTCACCTTTAAAGCTCTCGTAACCATGCGCTCCTGAGCTTCCCCTAGCTGCGCGCAAAGATCATCAATGCTTTCCTGGCCTTCAACCATATCATACTCGAGCTCCTTAATCCGCTCGATTTGCATTTTATTAGTTTCCTTTAGTTGATTCACTTCACCTTCAAGCCTACCATTGTCTCTCGCTAGGGCCTCCCTCTCTTCTACCACAGCCAAAACTACGATATTGGGGTAGGCATAAGTATGGCGGCACTCGCAATGTTGAAAACGATTGGCTGGACTCCAGCGTACAGTGGCTTCTCTTGGCTGAATCTGGTACTTAATCATCGAGAGTACTCCATGGGGTGGCTCGCCAACTGGACTATCACTAGGGCCACTATGTCCATCCATCCTACACAAAGTGCAGAGAAAACTTAAGTACTCTTAAGGGGAAATAATCAAATATAATCCTCAAGTTGAAAATTCCTAACACGCCCAGACCAATTCAAACCTATGCTCTAATACCACCTATGGCAGTCCTACCTCTCCCTAGAGCGAATCCTAAGGTATCAGCGGACTGCCTGCTCAGTTGTCGCCGGGGCTCGGTTGATCAAAGAACTAGCAATTCAAGATAACCAGTGAAATAACTTCAAATCATGAGCGTACAAACCCTAATGGCATATAGTCGTCAAGCCAACTTTTCAAACTTAGAATATCAAGCTAAATGTCAAACTTACCGTTCCACACTTAAGTTACATAGCATATGTCAAACTTATGAATTCAAACTTACAAGAGTCAAAAGTAAAATCATCTAAACAAAAGGTTACAATTCGAAGTACCAGTTCAAGTAAAAGATAAAGCTTTGAAAGCTCTTGCCCCTATGTCCATCCCACATCTGTTAAGGAAAACAAAGGGAGTGGGGTGAGATAAAACTCAGTGAGGTTCCAAATAAACTGATATGCACGTAGCCAGATAAAGATGTAAGGTAACAAGTAAACACAGTTTTGTACTACAACAATGAAATCACAGTTCAATTCAAGGATACGGGTGAATTCCAAATGCCAAATCTACTAGAGCTTGATCATACAAGAATCATTGACTCTCCGTCAACGTCTGCATTTAAAGAATACAATGTCTGTAGAACTTTACTTTCTCCAATTCCCATCCACCAGTCACCCCTTTACCAGGCCCAAACTCCTCAAACAGCAAGTAGGTAATACTCGAGTATATCGGTTTCTAGTTTTCAGTAAACAATCCCTAAGGTTTATCGACCTTCTCGACCAAGGCCTTACTAGCTCGATACAACCAATTTACCTATAAGATTGGGTACCCAAACAATAGTAGTAGTTGATGGGATATCGCCCAAACAATTCAAACACAGTCACATATAGAGAAATCACATCTCATAATAGTAGTATATAGAGCCTCAGTGGAATTAAAAGAGGTCGAGTGCGATAAAGTACACGCTCGCCTCAATTTTATGAAAATAGTATTTAGCTCAACCAGTCACCAATCAAGTACGTAGATATGCCACATAGACAGTTAACAGGTAATGGAACACTCACCTGTCAAGCAATGAAGTGTTCAAACGTCAAGTCCCTCGGTTACGTTCACCACCGTTTCCCAATCCTAGGGCAACGAGTGAAATCGTTAACAAACTAGGTTCAATTCCAACCCAAAAATGAGCTCATTAGGTGACCAAGTGAGTGGTTAAATCTACTCAATTCACTATGCACGTTAGGCCCAAAATACAGTAAAAATTCATAAGAAAACAAGTTTGACAAGTGCAAAAAAGTTAGGCAAAAGAAAAGTTTCATTCAAGCTCAAAGTGTTTTTCGTGGGTAAAACAGTCGCACCGGCGCAGTCTCAAAAAAAGGGCTATATCTCACTATAGGAAAGTCGGAATCAGGTGCCGTCAGTGGCATTGTAAACTAGACACATAGGGTTTTCCAATGGTATCAAATACACATTCTAGTTCATCTCCTATCAGTACCAGTAACTCGGACAAGATGGCATGATCCGATCATTCAAAATTTAGTTAATAAGGTGCTCACTTTAGTCTTAATCATGAGCCATACATCTATCTAAATTTGGCCTCTCAAAACACAAAACTCAAAGACAAACTTGAAAACCAATTGAAAAATATCCAAGTGCATTCTAGGGCTATGATTCAAGTAAGTTATTAGTATGAAAAGAAAACACTTGTTTAAGGGCCCAAAACCATCCAAAATCACATCAATTAAAGTTTACGACCTAGAAAAGTTTTCTCAAAGTTTTCCAAGTTCCACTTAATTCATTTGACAAAATTCTCAGCTTTGGCGATATTCTTTGAAAAAGCATAACTTGAGTTCCGTAGGCCAAAAAATCACAAAAATTACACCATTAGAAAATAGACTCAAAATACTAATAGAGTTTAGAAGACATTTTCATGAAATTCAACTCATAGGTTAGTCAAATTTTCAGTTCAAAATCACTGATATCTCGTGTGCAAAACAGAACAGTCATGATTTTTCAAGAAACTTTGTAAATTTTCTGGTATTTATAAGAGTTGAACCAACCCCTGATTTTTACATGGTTAAAAGAGCTATGATCTACAGTAAATGGAACTCAATTTGGATTTTTCTACACCAAGATATAATAGATTTCCCAAAACTGCTCAAAGTCTCCAGCGAAAAAAATTTTCAGCAGCACTTCCTCTTATTTTTCCTAATTTTCAGCTATTTTCAAGGCTTCATTCTCACCACAAGACAGCTCCAAATCAAGTTCACAAGGTATAGGATATATAGAATACTTATTTTAGCGACAAAACTAGTTATAATCAACATATACCTAAGCTGGAAATAATCAACAAAAGCGGAAAATGGCAACCTACTACACAAAACCACAAGAATCTTCCCTCAACCAACTACAATCAAGTCATATTTCCAATCAAATGCAAGATTAAAGAGGGAGAGTGGTTCCTTACCAAGAAAATCTGCAATTCCTAAGGAGAATAGCAGCCTACAGCTTTCTTCCCAAAAATCACACCACACAAAGTCTCTTCCTCCCTTGTTGCTCCCTTCTATCGGGAGCAAACGGTGCACATCGGTTCAAGCCGATTTTCCTTAATTCACGTATATAAGTATTTTAACTTATGATTCACTAACTTCTTAATAGCACTTCCAATCACACACTTCACCTTATCTAAAATTCACTCTTAACCACCAAATTTAATACACATACCTCACTAATTAATCACACTACCAAAATATGCAAAATCCCTAATTTACGCTAATTATAAAACTAAAGATGAAACTCTTGATTCTATGATTTATTGCAACTATTGAGGGAGTAAATGAGTAGTAAAGATATTATAAAGTAATTTATTCAAAATAAAAGGAAATTTTAAGAAAATATGAAGAATTTTGCAAGTCCTCACACTCTCTCCCCCTTA